ACAGACAGACAGACAAACAGACATTCAGCCTTATTTATGCAGATTGCATCTCTCGAATTCCTTGGAAGTTATCGAGCACTGTTTTTGTGTTCTGTTTCCAACTTCCTTTAACAGTTAGTTACGTCATTGAAGGGTCTCGAATCACCTGCATGTTATCCCGACCACCATAGTAGGCATTCACTTTGGCAACGGCATCAGCTACAGTGACTGAGTTGAACTCGCTTCCGTAGATGTTTGTGCACTCATCAATGTAGTACCTGAATGAATCAATGTATACAACATGATTAACGACATTTTCACTGTTTTTCCCGTCCAGAGTTGCTCTCGTCAACTCCAACGATGTTGGTCGATCAACTAGGGGCGCATCTACGTGGGTCGGCACGGTGTTGGCACGGCACTGGAACGGAAGGCGGGCACGCGGTCAACTATGGACGTCTTGATCCATGAAGATTGGCCAATAATAAACATGAGAAAGCTGGCTGTATCTATATGAAGGGGAGAACGACGTGGTTGACGTTACGAGTTACATAACTTATCATTTTGATTGGTTAACTAGCATAACATCTAACGACATTTCAAAACAACTGCTTTCTTGTTAATAAAGAGTGATCCTGATTTTCCAATTTCCAGTGATTAGAGAACTACCTGCCGTGGGATTTTTTTTATCAATGCCGCTAGTTTGCTACCTTTGCGCGTTGGCACAGGAGCAAAAAGCTTCAGAAAGATCAAGTTGAAGGCAGCGCGAAGGCGCGAAGCGCATGCGAAGCGGCGGTACTTACGGAAAGAGCGCTGGAACTATGTAAGGATTATCGGGGACTTTCTAATTATGTCAGTTCCCCTTTTTAGAAATTTAGAGAATTTTTTGATTTTGTTTTCCACCCTTTTGTGAACTCACTTGACTGGTAAAGCTGGTTTCCCTCCGAAGAATGGTCCGGCCGTGTCAGAGTCTGTTGACTGGTAGTAACCAAACTCAGTACATGTTTGCCAAACCCAAGCACGAACTAGAATAATCAGTTTTTTCCACATATCTGTTGTACGGATCAGTTCTCACTTTCTTGAGCATCGCCGTAGGAAGTATCCTGCATAAATTCAATGAAGCTTTGATAGTCAATATCCTCACATCCGGTGTAGCCTTCGAGTTGGTTGAAATAGTTGTTGACCTGCAGTGCGAGGGTATAGTGAAGGGCAAAGTGCAGCTACCATTACCTGCTTCAATTTGGTCAGCGAGTTTGCGTTGCTCTCATGGAAGCGACAAAGTGCGTTTTGGATAGTGAGCAGGTTGTGGAAGAGACCCTAGAATTTGGTAATAAAAATCATTTCAGAAGCCGCATCAAAGCCTATCATTTCTTTATACTCAGTCATATGGAAATCAAAGGAATTATGTTGAGGGCAGTGGCTCGACAGAAGGAAACCTGTGTAAAACCACATTACAGAGCAGAAGCCCCATAATGGATATAGGCCAAGTTTGATCTCTCATTACTCAGGTGAGGAAAAACAGTTCCTTTGAGGATTTATCGAGCCACTGCGTTTAAGACAAGGCAATATTGGTAATTGGCATTGATATACAGAACTGCGTTATAAACATAGATTTTATAAATTTTGCTCATGAAATATCCAGTATTACAGTTTTATTGGGTATGATTTTAGCATCACTTAGCTGTATTTTCAACTTACTTACTACTAACTTGGATGGCCCATCTCACGTGGCGTGCGGGCCCCAGCACAAAAGATGCCATT